CCCCAAACGAAACAGACCCAGCCAAGACTTAAAAACCTCTAGGGATGGAGATTCCACCCCCTCCCTAGGTAACTCATCCCAGTGCTTCCCCACCCACCTAGGGAAAGAGTTTTTCCTAATATCCAACCTAGACCCCCTCCACTGCAACTTGAGCCCATTGCTCCTTGTTCTGCTATCCCTCACTACTGAGAACAGCCTCTCTCCAGCCTCTTTGAACCCCCTTCAGGAAGTTGCAGGCTGCTCTCAAATCCCCCCTCACTCTTCGCTTCTGCAGACTGAACAAGCCCAGCTCCCTCATCATTTGTGTTGCATCCACTGGACCCTCTCCAGTGCGTCCACATCCTTCCTGTATTGGGGGATCCAGAACTGGACACAATACTCCAGGTGTGGCCTCCCCAGAGCCGAATAAAGGGGAATAATCACTTGTCCGGATCTACTAGCAATGTTACTCCGAATGCACCTCAGGATGCCATTAGCCCTTTTGGCTACAAGGGCGACTGTTGACTCATCTCCAGCTTCTCATCCACTGGAATCCCCAGGGCCTTTTCTGTAGAACTACTGCTTAACCAGTCGGTCCCCGGCCTGTAGCAGAGCTGATCATCAGGGTTAACCCTGCAATAACTCACTGCTTGCTGCCGCCCCTAGGGTGTGTACTAACTCAGCGTGCTGACCCCCCTCCAAGGGTAAGAGAGCCACCATCACACCCCTCCCCACACCCCTCCCTGCAGATACCAAGTGCTTCCCTCCCTTCCCTGCTGCACAGGGGTGTCCGGGGGTGAGAGCTGGGACCCAGGCCCCACAGGACTGAGAGTCGAATGGCTGAAGCGGACTGGCCAGAACACACAACCTTGCAGGCTGATGGGGCCCATGTGCATTGTGTGCCCGTGCGCCTCCCCAAGTGTCATCACTGCAAGGCACTGAAGTCTTGCAGACGGCTACCAACAGTAGGGGTTGGGGCTGGGGCTGGGGCTGGGGCTGTGCCAATGGCGGCCTGTGGAGAGCCTGAGGTGCAAAGAAGAAGTGTGTGTGTGTGTGTGGGGGGGGGGTAAATGATGCAGACAGTTGAAATCCATGAATCTGCCCACGCTTGGGCACGTTAAGAGAACTTCCCACATTTTGCGTCCAGGGAAAGGAGTCAGGGAGATAAGCAGGAGCCAAAACAGCAACGCTGGACATCAAGCCTGTTCACCGAACAAAAGGGTCAAGCCCAATGAGGAAAGGTCGAGAGAACAGGAGCTAGGAGGGGAGGCTGAAAGAACTGGGCTTGTTTTGTTCAGAAAAGTGAAGACTGACACGTTAAGAGAACTTCCCACATTTTGCGTCCAGGGAAAGGAGTCAGGGAGATAAGCAGGAGCCAAAACAGCAACGCTGGACATCAAGCCTGTTCACCGAACAAAAGGGTCAAGCCCAATGAGGAAAGGTCGAGAGAACAGGAGCTAGGAGGGGAGGCTGAAAGAACTGGGCTTGTTTTGTTCAGAAAAGTGAAGACTGAGGGGACATGAGAGCAGCTTTCAGGTGTCTAAAAGGGGGTCACAAGGAGGAGGGAGAAAAATGGTTCCCCTTGGCCTCTGAGGATAGAACAAGCAGCAAGGGGCTTAAACTGCAGCAAGGGAGGCTTAGGTTGGACAGGAGGAAAAACTGCCTGCCTGTCAGGGGGGTTAAGCACTGGCATAAGTTGCCTGGGGGGCTGTGGAATCCCCATCACTGAGGATATTGAAGAGCAGGCTGGACAGACACCTGTCAGGGGTCATCTAGATCAGGGCTACTCAATTTTGGAAGCTCCAGGAGCCACAAGGATACTCATAGCACATGCCAAGAGCTGAAACTTACGTGTGGTTGCATATACATGCAAATATATGCAAATACAGGCAGTCCCCGGGTTACATGGATCCGACTTACATCGGATCCCTACTTACAAACGGGGTGAGGCAACCCCGCACTAGCTGCTTCCCCCCAGCAGACCAGGGAGACGCGAAGCTAGCGCCCCCCCCCCCAGCAGACCAGGGAGACGCGGAGCAGCTTTTCTCAGCAGACACCTCAGCTTGAGAATAAAGGACTGAGGGAAGTGAGGTGTGGGAGAATAAAACTGAGCTCTGGAGAAATGTTTGGCTAGAGTTTCCAACTACCCCTACAGTATGTACCAGTTCCGACTTACATACAAATTCAACTTAAGAACAAACCTACAGTCCCTATCTTGTACGTAACCCGGGGACTGCCTGTAGCTTCTTTCACACTGACAGGCATGAATACAAAGATTAAGTCAAGATTGCACAACACACAGGCCCCATTTAAGTCAGTTCTGTTGCTATTAATAAAATGCAACATTGACCCCATTTCCACCCTTATGACAGCACTTCTACTGACAGTCCAGGAATTGAACTGCTAAACGCATCTCAACAGAAGACCAGTATAGTGACTTGCTGTTGTGGAGCATGTTCCCAGTGGAGGTGTGTTCAATGGATCCCACACTCAGGCCGTGTGCTGAGCCCCATGTAAACCCAAACTGCACTGCGGGCTGCAAACAAACGGGTTGTGGGCTGCATGTGGCCCACAGGCCACAAGTTGAGTAGCCCTGGTCTAGACCCTAGACACATTGGAGGATTGGGACAAAAGAAATCTGAGGGGGTCCAACAAGGACGAGTGCAGAGTCCTGCCCTTGGGACGAAGAATCCCAAGCATTGGTACAGGCTGGGGACCGACTGGCTAAGCAGCAGTTCTGCAGAAAAGGACCTGGGGGTTACAGTGGATGAGAAGCTGGAGATGAGTCAACAGGCGCCCTTGTAGCCAAGAGGGCTAATGGCATATTAAGATGCATTAGGAGGACCATTGCCAGCAGATCTAGGGAAGTCATTATTCCCCTTTATTCGGCTCTGGTGAGGCCACATCTGGAGTATTGTGTCCAGTTCTGGGCCCCTCACTATGGAAAGGATGTGGACGCACTGGAGAGGGTCCAGCGGAGGGCAACCAAAAGGATTAAGGGGCTGGAGCACATGACCTACGAGGAGAGGCTGAGAGGTTTGGGCTTGTTTAGTCTGCAGAGAAGAGTGAGGGGGGATTTGAGAGCAGCCTTCATCTCCCTGAAGGGGGTTCCAAGGAGGCTGGAGAGAGGCTGTTCTCAGTGGGGGCAGATGGCAGAACAAGGAGCAATGGGCTCAAGTTACAGTGGGGGAGGTCTAGGTTGGATATTAGGAAAAACTTTTTCCCTAGGCAGGTAGGAAACACTGGGCTGGGTTCCCTAGGGAGGGGGTGGAATCTCCATCCCTGGAGGTGTTTAAGTCTCGGTTTGACAAAGCCCTGGCTGGGATGATTGAGTTGGGGTTGGTCCTGCTTTGAGTAGAGAGCTGGACTCATTGACATCTGAGGTCTCTGCCAGCCTTGGAATTCTAAGATGGTGCGTGGTCCTGCCGTGAGGGCAGGGGACTGGACTCGATGACTTCTCGAGGGCCCTTCCACTTCGAGTGTTCTGGGTCTAGAATTAAAAATAGTTTGCAACCTAGACATGGCATTTGGCAAGATTCTCACTCAATAAAACTACTGCAGGAAGGAAATCAGAAAGGGAGCTCCGATCTTCTGCCCAACAGACACAGTTGCGTCTTATAAATGCTCAACTAAAGAAAAGGTTACTTACCTTGGAACTGTTGTTCTTTGAGATGTGTTGCTCATGTCCATTCCAATCCAGGGTGTGCACAGAGTTCCGGAGTCTTTTTCCCCTAGCAGTATCAGTAGGGCCAGCATGGGGAGCCCCCTGGAATGGTGCCGGCATAACAGTGCATATATACCCCTGCTGGCCCCTCACCTCCTCAGTTCCTTCTTGCGTCATGGCTCTGACAAAGGGGAGGCGGGTGGGATTGGAATGGACATGAGCAACACATCTTGAAGAACAACAGTTACAAGGTGAGTAACCTTTTCTTCTTCTTCAAGTGGTAGCTCATGCCCATTCCAATCAGGTTATTCTCAAACCATATCCCTGGCGGTGGGGTTGGAGAATAACAGTGTCTATTTGTCCACAGATTTTAACACCGCCCTGCCCACTGATGCATCTTCCTTGGCATGCTGCGTAATCGCATAGTGTTTTGAAAAGGTATGGACTGAGGACCATGTGGCTGCCCTACACATATCAACAATCGGCACCTGAGCCAAGAACGCCACTGACACCACCTGTGCCCTTGTGGAGTGTGCCGTTAGTGGGGGGTGTCCTTACCCGCCCCTTGGTAGCATTCTCTAATGCTGGAGTTAATCCACGATGACAGGCACTGGGCCGAAATAGGGGATCCTTTCATTCTTTCCGCGATGGAAATAAAAAGCTGTACCGATATATGAAAGTCTTTTGTCCATTCAATGTAAAAAGCTCCTCCTCACATCAAGGCAGTGCAAATTCTGCTCTCTAGCCAACGAATGAGGCTTAGGGAAAAACACGGGTAGGAAAATGTCCTGGGATGTATGGAAGTGGGAAA